TACAAGGTATAACACAATAAAAGAAAATGCTCCTCAATTTGAAAAAATAAACTCATAATGGTTAGAACCTCTGTATCCCCAACGGAGTTGCCATTCTCTTGACATCCCGAGAGAGGGCGCAACGTCGCGGTGACTCACCAAACAAATAGTTATTTAATTTTTTTTAAAGAATTAAAAGAATTTTAAAAAGGGAAAAGGAGAATATTAAAAGGGGTTTAAAAGGGTAAAAGGGGTAAAAGAGAGTCGCCACCTAATTTTAGGAAAAATAGGAAACCATTTAAGTGATCTACGAAACCATTAGATTCTAGGTAAGAGGTTCAAGTTATTCCGAAGGGAAGGTGTTATGCATCCTTCGAAATCCACAAATGTGGGTCCCGACTAAATTCATTTTTTCAAATTGAGGAGGAGATAAAAAACAATATACAAATATAATAAACATGCAATATATACAAGTAATAAAATAAAACTCGGCCTAAAGTTTACCTAACATCGATATACACAAAATAATGAATTGAAAAATATAATTCGAACTCCTTTCGAATAGCTTCAATGGGAAGCAACTCCGGGGTAGCTGTAAACACACTTAGTAAAAGTGTTAGTAATAAATAAATATGAATAAAATTGAATAACTCAAATAACAACTTAAAAATAAAAACCTGTCTTATTAACATGAGAGGCCTTGGAAATCGATGGTAATTTCTTCATCGGCCAATAATAAACAAAGTATATGACCTTAACTAAATTTCTGTCTTTTAAAATGGGGAGGCCTCATAAACCGACAGAGAGAATTTTTCATTGGCCATTTTAACTTATTTAGCATTAACAAACATTAAAACTTTTAACATCTACAAAATAAGATGCCGAAGCAACAAACCCCAACATGAAAATTAAAATAATAAAGAAAAGAAAAAAAAATATCCCAAATACAAATAACAATTAGCAGCCAAAGGAGTAATTAAGAATTGCGCAAATTTGATGTATAGCAGCCCACAAAGTTATCATTAGCAACAATTAGAGTTGGATAACAAAATTAACATCCAAAATTGAAATTACGGAGTAAAGTTTCAAAAAAAATCAACAGAAAATAATATAAGGAATAAAAATAACAATTTGAAATAGCAATGAGGACAAAATGAACAGTTAACCACACTTCGAATTTATTCTAATCGAAACAAGAAAATAAAAAACCATTTTATTGAATCTAATAAACAATAGAAAAATAGAGATAAAATATTATACTCTACCACATTAATCAACCTCAATCCATATTAATTAATAACTTTACCACTACATTTATATCAAATTAGAAAAATGACTTCTCCACCTTGACTCAAATGGTTACTTCTCACTTAGTATCAATCAAGCAACTAGAAACTCAAATGTGCTAGATCTCCGCCTATCAAAATCCAAGGCAAAAAGGATTGTTGCCTAGTGACATTATCCCATATCCCAAGAATGAGTGTTGATGAAATGAAAAATATGTCATTCCAAAATTTTAAATAAGACACTACTTGGGAGGCAACTCATGTTTATTTTACTGCTTCCAATAACGTGTGTTGTGAGTGCAGGTTCAAAAGAAGTCAAAATGTTGAGAAAGGTAACTTTGGTGCTGCCAAAATCATTGTGCAGACATCTTAATGTTCTCCTACTGTGCTGATTTTTAAAAAAAAAATGGTACTTTCAACTTCGGCAAACACAGATCAAGCCAACGATCCGCTGAAGTGCATTAAGCGGACTCATCGAGTCCGCCATTGATCTTCAGGTTTGGTACTTGTTCAGGCCTCATCGGCGAGCTTAAACTCCTTTGGTGATTTACCGAATTCATTCGACGATGTTAGTCATAGTCCGCCGAGTGCGCTTGAGTTTGGCCAATGGACTTTTCAAGTTCCAAAAGAAAACCTTTCATCTTTTTAAGCTTATTTTCTTCCTAAACTCCCCATACCTTTGATTTGGTTATTTTGAGACCTATTTTGCGTGATTTCAATTTCTTGGAGTGTATTGGACGGTTAGATTCTTGATCCCAGACCCCTCTTCCTCGATTTTGTGCCTATATATCATCTCTAGTTGGTTTTTGAGTTCTATATATTGCTATTTGTGCTAAAACTTGATGCTTCGAATGTTGTCTTAGTATTGTCATTGATATCTTGTTGTTTAATTTGTGTGTATAGTGCTAAATGCATCATATTGAACTGTGCCCATGAGTTAGGATAGTTGATTTTGTGCCAAAAATTGTTAAAATCGATTGTGATGGTTAAAAGTTGAAATTGAATCCTTCAATGTACCGGATCTTGCTTGAATTAAGTATGGGTGAAGTCTGATTAGCCAGTGTTGCCTCGAAGGCTTGCATTTTTCCAATGATAGATAGAGTGATGATTTTCTTAATGGAAAATCGTCAATTTGGGTAGTACTTTGTGAAATCTAGGGGAAGTTTGAGTACCCATAGGTAGTAAAGAATATGGGTAGACTATAAAACTAATTGGGTATTGTTGTGTATTGGTGTTGAAATTGTGAAAATAGGCACTAGGCTAAATATTACATATTCGGTGGGCTTGTCTTAGCTCTCCAAGGTGATTAGTCGAATCACCGAGTAAGTCCCAGACCACCTTTTGTGCTTAAATATGTGACTTGGGTATCGTCCCTTTCAGCAGGATTGCCTTAGCTCGCCAAAACCCACTCGACGTATCACCCAGTGGGAATGGACATCAACCGTTGTGCTTGTTCCTTTTAATTTTCACTATCACATTTAGTGGACTTGTCTTAGTTCGTCGAAACCATCTTTGTGGATCGCTGACTTGGAAATGACTCCCCCTTTCATGCATGAGTTAAAATTAAATTATGCATTGTCAACTTTGGCGAGCTCGCCTAACCTGTTAACTGAATTGCCTTCCCCGTAGG